GTTAGATAAGGAAACTGCCCTACTGTCTTTTCTGCACATCCATCAGAAATCAAAATCACAAATCAACAGCAAACAATTCCGTTGCTTCTGTGTTTTCTGAGACCTGGTTTTTCTTTTTAAAAATATTCAATAGAATAATATGCTTGATTTATTATTGTTGGTTTGATACTTTGATATATTTGACTAATTCATGGTGCATTTCAGGTCCTTTCAATTTTGAAAAGGCCAAAACCAAGGGATCCATGCCCACATTGCACCTCAATCCTTGCAGCTGGTCAAAGGTCTAAACATTTTTACCTTTCGTCTGATTCATGGTTTATCCTTTATAGAGAAGAACAATTTCTTTGCTTGGTGATATTTCAGGATGATTCTATGACTGTCTTCCTCAGTCTTTTTGATCTATGCGTACATTATTTTGCTTTGCATTATAGGCTTCCAACATTATATATTTGGATTCTCCAGCTGGGGTGGGGTTTTCTTACTCTAAAAATACATCTGATTACCCAACTGGAGACCTAAGGACTGCTTCAGAGTCACACACCTTTCTCCTTAAGGTATCTAGTGGAACAAGTTGAGAATTTTGACAATATAGTATCTAAATCAGTAGTTCTGTGTGGTTTACAAATTGCTCACACTTCCACCTTGAACTTCAACGAAACGGTGGTTTGAACTCTATCCTGAGTTCCTTTCTAACCCATTCTTCATCGCCGGAGAGTCGTATGCTGGAGTTTATGTACCTACATTAGCTTATGAAATAGTAAAAGGTAACAAGTTTTCTCACGAATTTCCCGTTTTAACACGAGTTACAATCACAACTAAGGTCCCTTTTTTTTTTTTTTGGGAATCTTTAAAAAAATAGGAATCGAAGCTGGTGCAAAGCCCAACCTGAATTTCAAGGTCTTTATCTTTACGTTAATCTTTTGTTTTCAAGCTTGACGCTGCAAACTGAAGTCACAATTTGCAGGGGTATTTGGTAGGAAATGGCGTTGCAGATGACCGAATTGATGGCAATGCTCTTGTTCCATTTACACATGGATGGGTCTTATCTCAGATGAATTGTATGAGGTGATTAAAAAAAACCCTCAAACATAGCAAATTAAATCAATAGCTCGTCATAATTATCATCTCAATAATTAAGAATTTAATTTTATATCAAACTCATGGAATATTGTCAGTGAAAACCAATCACTCGTCTTCGCTTAACAAGTTCAGCTTTTGAGTCAAAGTAGTTCTTGAAATGGCATATTTGAGCCTTCATTACCGAGTGATTATGACTAATTTGATATTTGCAACCATCATTTATATAATTAAAATTAAATCTGAACAGTAATGCATTGTGCTTTGTTCACATGCAAGCTCAAAGGGTTTTCATGTCACTAACATGTTAGAGATATGAGAAGAAACCAATCCTAGGCCTTCCCTTAATAGCTCACTTTCGAGTTGACTTGTTCATTGAACATGTTTTCTATGCTTAATGGCGCATGACTTCATATGCCGGAGGCCAAAAATGTGTGCAATGGTAATTATTATGTTCCAGTGAATGAGGATTGTCAGAAATTGATAGACAAAGTTAATGAGGTAATCTAACTGTACAACCGAATTCTGTTATGAATTAAAGCCAAGAAGAGTTAGGCTCTCATTCATGATTCTTACTATTGCAGTTGATTGCTGATCTAAACGTATACGAACCATGTTATCATGGGACAGAGACAGTAGAGACTACAACATCCTACCTTAGGTTGCCATCAGCTTCCGGCAGTTAGGCGCGACCAAGAGACCCCTACCGGTGAGAAAAAGGATGTTTGGTCGTGCTTGGCCCCTTAGAGCTCCAGCGAAAGATGGAATTGTACCAACTTTACCGGAACTTAGCAGTAGCAAGACTATAGTTCCATGCACTGTAGGTGTCCTTGTCTGATGGTTCATGATCATTTTATAATTACTTCCCTGCTTCAAATTGATTTTCACTGCTAGGATCTCTATAATCTAAATGTAGATTTGTTTTTCTGGGTGATTTCCCTTGATAAAATGTTTATTTATTTACAGTTAAAACTACTTACTGATGCAAATTTAGTAATAACTCATCAGGTGTTTAAAGCAAGTTACAAAATTGATTATGCTGTATATTCGTTAGTCTCAAACTGCTCATTGTATTTGTTGTATAGGCTAGTCACTTATGCTTTCCAAAATATTCTTTCTTATGCCCCTTCACGGAATGAGGAAAAGAGAGTTCTGACATAGAGAACTAATGAAGATTTTAATAGAAACTTGGCACCTAGAAGCACAATATTGAACATATTCTCTCTATCATGCACTGAACTTCATTGATTCAAGATAATACCTTCACATCAGTGTTCCCCCCCCCCCCCCCCCGGTACTGAACTTCGCGTCAGTGTTGTTCACATAGGAATTGAAAAACTAGGTTAGGGATATATCTGACCCTTGACCAATAATGACATGACAAATTCCACTTAACTCCTGTTTGAAAGAAACATTTTAAATAAGACAGTTTTGATTTTAGATCATAATCTTTTTTCTCTCAGTTTTCTTGTACCAGATAAGCCATCACCAAGTGCCATTATATACTTGATATGACTGCAAATGAAGCTTATTTTGTGTCTTGTTGTTGTATTGCTTGCATCTTGAAATGTTTAGGAAATAATAACAAGTTCGAATTTAATCTTCAGGATGATGAGGTTGCAACCATATGGCTGAACAATGAGACGGTCAGGAAAGCAATTCACGCTGCATCGGTAAGGATTCCTTCCATTTTATCTAGTAAAACAGTGAAATGAAAGCTCTGGTTTTGTGAACCAACCGTGGATTGAACTGTAATGACCAGAGGATATTTGGTTCAATTCTTGTTGATCTGTGATATGTATATAACAGGAAAATGATGCTGGGAGTATGCTCAAATTCCACTGGATCTTGACATCCAGGATATCGAGCACTTATATACAGGTACCTTCTTAATTAGAATATTATTGATACTTTCCTAGGGAAGTTTACCTTATTGATTTTCTGAAGAGTCTCAGGTGCTCTTTTGAGTCTTTGTTTTTCGTATAATTTATTACATCTTTTGTGTAATTGATTAGGACAAATTATGTAAAAGAAATAAGTCGCACGGTTCATGAATTTGAACAATGCAACAACTTATAATTCTTTTATGCAGAATTGATTAACGCTTTATAAGGAATAGTTACTGAAAATTACATATAGATATTATTCATGGAGAAAAATGCTGCACCTGATACTCCAAACAAACAGTGAATTAATAATGAAGTAAATTCCATAATTAATTGGTGACAGAATTTGGTTGCTAAATTGATTAGTAAAAAAAATCTCATCACTCCCCCCCCCCCCCAATACATCTTCCCTAGAAATTTTACTGGCATCCCTTAAAAAACTCCATTTGTCCCCTACCCAAAAAGATTTATGTTTAACCCCATTTACTTTTTTTTTTTTTAAAAAAAAAGAGACACACACACACACACACTAAATTTATAATTTTCTATTGTTTTCCAACTTATCAAAGAGTAATTTTATATTACATTGATTATAAATATGAATATATACTATTTCAAATATGAATGTATAATATTTCTTTAGTTATTAATTTTAATAATGTTATTTTTATATTAATTTAATAAATATCTAAATTATATTTTCACAGAACATCGATATCTATATTTGACACAAAATTGGTCCCCGCCAACTGATTTTCCTAGGTCCGTCATTGCGTGAAGCTATGGCTGTATACCAACTAGTGACACCATGCACTTCAAATATACAACGGTCTGTCGCCATGCATATTCCTTAACAACAGTTCATAAAACAAGGAATATACTGTAAATCCGGTCAAAAAAAAAGAAAAAGAAAAGAAAAGGAATATACTGCAAAAAGTTTTTACGTCTCAGGTTCTTGGCAGAACAGTCCGTCGCCATAAGAGTCACCATTATCATGTTTCTTGTTATTTATCCTGCTCTGTTTTGGTGTTACTTGATTAATTTACGGTAAAAAGTTCACGTTTTTGGCAGTCGCGATCATGACATGTGTGTTCCATACACTGGAAGTCAAGTATGGACTAGCTCGATGGGATACAAAGTTGTGGATGAATGGAGGCCATGGATGATCAATAATCAAGTTGCTGGGTACTTCTTACACCCTTTCGTTCTTCTCTTATTTTACTGTATGAATTTTCAAATAAATAATCCAGGAAGCAGATGGAACTTTGTTTTTACAGTCTGGAGAGTTTTTCCAGTGATATGGATACTATCAGTTTATGCTTCTTTATCATAATGCAGTAAGAATCTTTGACCTGACGTTCAGCAAACTTCCTGTATTTGCTGTAGTTATGTCCAAGGATATGATAAAAATCTCACCTTTATGACCATAAAGGTATGTATACCAGAAAGTTTGACCAAATTACTTCAATAACCACTTGATCTTGCGTTCTGATTCTGTTTGATAATGGCGCAGGGAGCTGGGCACACTGTTCCAGAATATAAGCAGCAAGAGGCACTGTACTTCTACAAGCAATTTCTGGATGGATCGTCAATATGATAAGAGAGACGAAACAGAGATCAAACTGACCAGGATTTTCTGGGTAGCTCAATGATGTGTTCCTAGTGTTTGCAGAATTGCCATTGCTATTATATATGTATCTGTACCTTACGAGAATAAATTCAAAGTGTTTCAGAGCGTTCGCAGAACTGCTATTTTTATTTTAAGAAATTCACTTTGCAAGATTCTAAATCTGAATGGTCTTAATTTCATCTTAATCATATAGATGAGAAGTGGACAGAATGGTTGGTGGGGAAGGCGGTGAAGAAAATATGAGTTGAATCGTGGATACAAATATCTACGGTGTTATATTATTAATTAATACAAATTATAAAACTATCAAATATCCAAGGGATATCTTCTTTCTGACATCAGGATCATACATGGAATCTGATTAAAAAAATAAAAATATATCCTTCCCTACCTCATTTTCCAATCGGGCTCCTCCAAGTAATCAGTTCCCTGTGTCCCACTCCGCAAGAATCCAATAACTCTGCGTTGATACCTGGGCCAACGACGCCATGTTTGAGGATTGAGGTATCCCAGGCTCCAGAAAAAGCGCTTTCAACTTTCTGCTCGATTCATCCCCAGAACCACACTTGGCTAACTTTATCTCTTGCAATAATTCGAAGAAGTTGAGAATCTTTGTTAGCTTCTAATAGCCCAGGTGGGACCCGCATTTATGCTTGCGTTTTCAACGCCTTTATTCTTCTGTCATGTAAATTGGAATGTTCTTGATGTTTAATACTTCTTTTGTGCTGTGTAGCTGCTTGCTGATTAATCGAACAGCATGGCTACGGTGAACAGTGTGGTCTGCTGCTTCTATTTCGTCCTGGTTAACATTTTGTTATGCTCTCTGCCAACTCAATCAGCTCCTGAAGGTGCTCTCATAACAGAGATTCCTGGATTTAATGGCACTATACCTTCCAAGCATTATGGCGGGTATGCTTCAGATTGTCTTTTAAACAATATCTGGGCTTTTGCTTTGCCTTCGTTGACCAATGGAGGATTTGTTTTTGTCTCATTTTGGGATGTTGTAGTTATGTGACGGTGGATGAAAGTCATGGGAGGAGCCTGTATTATTACTTTGTGGTATCAGAAAGCAATCCATCTGAGGATCCTGTGGTTTTATGGCTGAACGGCGGGCCCGGATGCTCTAGCTTCGATGCCTTCGTATACGAGCATGGTAATGATTCATTATATTCAGCCTTTGTAGTGTAGATAAATTTTGGGTCGTGGTTATCTGTGAACACTATTTTATCAGTTTGTTTCGCAATCCGGATGCCAAGATGTGAATTCATTCTTCAATTTGCAAGTACTTACTGTGGCTTGTTACGAGTTGTCGACTGACCCCAATCAGCCAGGTTGAAGAATTCCTTTAACACTTGGCTTTAGTAAACAGTTAAATATGATGATTGCCTACTGTCTTTCGTGTCTATCCATCAGAAATCAAAATCAAAATCTAGCGGTTTGCTTGATTAGAATAGTTCTGTTGTTTCTGTATTTTCCGAAACCTGGTTTTTTTTTCTTTTTAAAAAATTCATTAGAATAGTGTGCTTGATTTATTATCGTTCGCTTGTTATATTTGACTAAATCCATGGTAAATTTCAGGTCCTTTCAATTTTGAAAAGGCCAAAACCAAGGGATCCTTGCCTACATTGCACCTAAATCCTTACAGCTGGTCAAAGGTCTAAACATTTTTACCTTTGTTTGATTCAGGGTTTATCTTTAAAAGAGAAGGACAATTTCTTTGCTTGTTGATATTTCAGGATGAGTGGGTAACTGTCTTCCTTTCTCGGAGTCCTCTAATCTATGCATACATTGCTTGCTTTGTGTTACAGGTCTCCAACATTATATATTTGGATTCTCCAGCTGGTGTGGGGTTTTCTTTCTCAAAGAATAAATCCGATTACATAACTGGAGACATAAAGACTGCTTCAGATACACACACCTTTCTCCTTAAGGTATCTAGTGAAACAAATTGGGAATTTTGACAATATAATATCTGAGTCAGTAGTTCTGCATGGTTTACAGATTGCTTACATTTCTATCTTGATCTTGAACAAACCAGTGGTTTGAACTCTATCCTGAGTTCCTTTCTAATCCATTCTTCATTGCTGGAGAGTCATATGCCGGAATTTATGTACCTACACTAGCTTATGAAGTAATGAAAGGTAATAAGTTTTGTCATGAATTTCCTGTTTTTAACATAAGTTAGAATGATAACTAAGGTTCCGTTTTTTATATCTTTCATAGGAATTGAAGCTGGTGCAAGGCCCAACCTTAATTTCAAGGTCTTTATCTTTAGGTTAGTCTTTGTTTTCAAGCTTGTAGCTGCAAACTAAAGTCATTATGTGCAGGGATATTTGGTTGGAAACGGCTGTACAGATGATGAGTTTGATGGCAATGCTCTTGTTCCATTTGCACATGGGATGGGTCTCATCTCAGATGAATTGTATGAGGTGAAAGTACAACCCTTCAATCATAGCAAACTCACTCAGTAGCTTATCATAATTATCATCTTAACAAATTGATGATTTGATTTCATATCACATTCTTATGGAATATTAACAATATTTGGCAGTCTCTTCCATTTTCGGACAATCTAAGTGCTTTTCTATAACTTTCTCCGCACTTCCACACTAGTAGATTATCACCCACACATGCCTGCAAACACATATCTGAACAGATGTTGTTGCGGAGTGTTTGATGTCATCTTACATAAATTTTGAAATTAATAATCTGTGGTTTTATTAAATTGATTAACGATGTCTCGTGGTCAATCTAGTTGTGCCACTGAACTGGTCTTGTTACCCAGATCGAATTTTCTCAGTTAAATATTGTTAGTGAAAATCAACCTTAGGCCTTTGTTTAACAGTCTAAGCTTATGAGTCCAATTGGTCCCTGACATGTTATTTGAGCCTCTATAAACAAGTTATTGTGAGTTTGATCTTTGCCACATCTATTTCCTTAATTAAAATTAAATTTTAACATAATATATATTGTACTTGTGCTTTTTTCACATGGATGCTCGAAGGTCTTCCCTGAATGAAATGTTAGAGATATTAATAAAAACCAATCCTAGGCCTTCGCTTGATAGATTACTTTTGTGTTGAATTGGTCCTTGACAAAACTGAACATGATTTGATAGAACTGTCTCAATAATGCTGTCTTCGTAGTCTTTTGCTTACAAATTTGGCGAAGTTGTATTGTTTCCTGAACATGTTTCATATAATTAATGGTACATGACTACATGTGCAGGAGGTTAGAGTTGAGTGCAATGGGAATTTCTATAATCCATTGAATGAAAATTGTGCAAGCAAGCTAGCAAAAGTTGATCAGGTAATCTACTTGTACAATACGGTTCTGGAAGGAAATGAACCAAAATGAATTAGATTCTCATTCGTGATTCTTGCTATGGCAGGAGATTGATGGTTTAAACATATATGACATTCTAGAACCATGCTATCATTGGCCGGAGACAATAGAGACCACACCATCCTATATCAGGTTGCCATCCAGTTTCCGGCAGTTGGGTGAGACCAAGAGACCTCTACCTGTGAGAAAAAGGATGTTTGGTCGTGCTTGGCCCCTTAGAGCTCCCGTGAGAGATGGAATTGTGCCAACTTGGCCGCAACTCAGCAATAGCCACAACGTTCCATGCACTGTAGGTTGCTTTGTTATTATATTGATTTTCTTCTCTAGAATCTCTATATATGGATCTTTTTTGGGTTGATTTCTCAGGATTTGATGTCTATCTGTTCACACTTAATTAGTAATCAATGCAGTGAAAAAAGCTGATAATAAGGTTATAAGGTGTTAAAGCAAGTTAGACACATGGCATCTGTTAGTGAAAAGCGTGTCATTTTACTCCCCAAAAATTAACTAAGCTAATTGTAGTAAAGTGATATCTAGCCTAGGCCAGCTTATGTGAATGTTAAAATTTCTCGCTAATCCTATGGACCGCAAATTAATAAATTAATCACAGTGAAGAGAAAGAGTAAATGTTTGGTTGATTTTCTATTTTACACATAAAGTCTATTATTTATGGTTTTGCCTTTCTAGATGAGGGATGAAGTGAATTGATAGAAGAAAAGGTGAGTGACAATGATGATTTCTCGATTTATACTATAAATGTTCCCCTAGAGATAGCCCTCGCCTTCCTAGTTCACTTGAAATTTGGAGTTAAAATCGAATCAAAAGATTAAGCTAACTACTTGCTAGCTCTTTTGCAAATTAAAACTCATAACTCGTGCAGAATTTATAGCAAGCATAAAACTATTCGGATACGAGAAGAAATTTGACAGGCCGGTCCTTCTATCAACAACCACTGCTGCGCTTTGTTGTGGAATCTATTGAATTAATCATGAAAGGTGAACCAACTCGGTCAACAGTCACAATGTAAAACAACAATAAAATCAGAAGGATTAGTCTCAACTCAATCCTACAAATGACTCATCAACTAACTAATCCTAAATCAACTCAATAATTCCAAAATAGCATCAATCAATACAAATCCTGAAACCATAAGCTGGAATATAGAACTTGTTCACACGAGAATATAGCTTCAGACTGAAATCAAGGAGACAAGATGATTCCTGTTCATCAGTTTTGGTGTTTGATTTGACCAACCCATCTCAACAAAACTACTTAAGCCCTAACATAAAAATGCATCGTGCAAGAATCCTTAGTTCCATTCTTGTTTTTTTTTTTTTTAAAGATACTTTATCCGGAAAAAAAAGAAAAGAAAAGAGTAATAAGAAACGACATTCTTATGTTTGATCTTGTTTCAAATCAGTGTTCCCATAAGAATTGAAAAATTTAGGGAGATATCTGACCCTTGACCAATAATGATATGACGGATTCTACCAACACTGATTTATGTCATCTGAAAGCTAACTTTAAGTTTCTAATGGTGGTGCTTCATTTGTCATCATAGATGAGATGGCTATAACTTGTAGTTTATGGTCTCACGATGTTAAAGCTATGTTGTGGTACTACATCTTTAATTCTTTTTGAGTTGCTGCTTCGGAAGTCCAATCTTTCTTTTCTCTGTTTTCTTGTATCATGTCTGCTATCATTATACTTGATATGATCGCCATGAAGTTATTGTTGATATTGTGGTATTGCCTGTAGCTTGGGATGTTAAGTAACAAATTCTAAAATTATCTTCAGGATGACGAGGTCGCAAACTCATGGCTGAACAATGACATAGTCAGGAAAGCAATTCACACCGCAGAGGTGAGGTTTCTTAATTGCCCAAACTGTGAAACGGTAACACTGGTTTGTGACCCAACCTGGATTGAACTCCATTGACTAAAGGGTATTTGGTTCAGTTCTTGTTGGTTAAACCTTTGTTGATTGCCATCCATTACTTACAGTGCATTCTAGTTTGGAGTTGGAGCAACCTATCTAACTTTTAAATCCCGTCTCACCAAAAAAAAAAAACTGATTTTGTGACATAACAGAAAGCTGATGTCAGTATTTGGGATTTATGCACGGGCAATATTTTCTACGATCATGATGCTGGGAGCATGATCAAATTCCATAAGAACCTGACATCCAGAGGATATCGAGCACTTATATACAGGTAAATTATTAGGTTAAAATCATTGGTACTTGAACCTTTGGTATCTCGAATCCTCTGAATTCAGCATATGACTTTTCTGGTGGAGTTTCCCTAATGGATTTACTCAGCGGTTTTGAAAGCTCTTTTGCGCCGATGGTTGTTTACTGTTTTAACCCTTTTTTTCTTTATCGTTTGGTTAATGCTTTGGGATGAATATTTACTGAATCATTGGGCGTATAATGAGCTAGCAACAGTAATATCTTCTAATTTGGCCATATTTAAAGTAGCTACTTAATTGCTTCTATCATCCTTCTCGGGGTGTTTTTCATGAAACTAGGTAGTCTAATTACATGGACATGTTTTTTACTTCTCAAATTCTTTGCACAAAAGTCTGTCGCTATAAGAATCACCGTTACTGTCAATGATCTGCATGCTTCTTGTTATTTATCTGCTCTTTTTTGGTGTTTATTGATTAATATACTGTAAAACATGTTTTTGGCAGCGGGGATCATGATATGTGTGTTCCATTCACTGGAAGTCAAGCATGGACTAGATCAATGGGATATAAAGTTGTGGATGGTTGGAGGCCATGGATAGTCAATAATCAAGTTGCTGGGTACTTCCAGCTCCTTTTCCTTCTTATCTTATTTTACTGAATGAATTTTCGAATAAATAATCCAGGAAACAGAAGGAACTTTGTTTACAATTTGGAGAATTTTTTCTAATGCTACGCATACTATCAGTCTATGCTTTTTTCATAATGCAGTTAGAATCTACGACCTTATAATCAGTTTAACTTCCTGTATTTCTTGCAGTTATACACAAGGATATGATAAAAATCTCACCTTTATGACCATAAAGGTTTGTACACCGGAGAGTTTGACCAAATTGCTTCAAGAACCACTTGATCTTGTGTTCTGATTCTGTTTGATGATGGTGCAGGGAGCTGGACACACTGTTCCAGAATATAAGCCACAAGAGTCATTGTATTTCTACAAGCGCTTTCTGGATGGATTGCCGATATAGAAAGAGAGACGAAACAGAGGTCAAATTGATCTGGATTTTCTGTGTATTTCAATAGCGTATTCCTACCATTTGCAGAATTGCGATCATATCTGTGTTTTATGTGAATATCAAAGTCTTTCAGTGTGTTGGCACAATTGCTATTACTATTGCTATTATATGTAATAACTAACATACCTAAAAATCAAAAAGTGGAGGTTGATCAAGGGAATTCCCTATAAGGCTATGAGCTAACTTTGCCATGTAGTCAGCCTCTCTAACATGAAGCCTATTAACATGGGTGAACCTAACTTCCCAGTTTCTGTGTATGAGTAATCTTGCCTCCTCAACAAAGTCACTAAAGGGTGATTGTCATCACATCCCTTGGTAGCCAAGTTGATAGCGCTTTTGCCGTCAGACAAAATAATGATTTTCCTCAGACCCCTCGACCAACAGATTTGCAAACCATGGATGTAGCTTATTAGTTCAGCAATCGTTGGCGGTACAGAAGTGATTTTCACACTGAAACCGCATATCCAGTTTCCATTGTGTTCTTTGATTACTCCCCCATAGCTGCTTCTTCCATCCTGTAGTGTAGAGCGGTCCGTTGTTAGCTATACGAAGCCTTCCTCTTCTTGGGTGTGGTTCTGCTGCAACTCTGTCTGATCCTTGTAGAACATGCATTTGTTCTTCAAATCCTGGTCCACAGCTGCTCTGAAGAAGCTGTTGGTTGCTTTCCGTTGTTCATGGTTCCCCTGCCGTCCGAATAACTTATTACACCTTGATACCCAACTGTCCCAGCATATATACCCGAACTGGATTGCTCATAGTACTTTCTTGGTATGGTCCGCTCCTGCTTCCATTTCCAGATTCCACCTAAGCTAGTCTGTTCCCCACAGACTGAAAAAGCATTCATGTTCTTCCCGTGCTAAATAAAACCATCCATCTTTTTATCTGAGGAAGATGTGATTGTGAGAGGAAACGGAGAGAAAAGGATTATGAAAGAATCCAGATGCATTTTTTGATCTAAGGATGGAGATGAGAATGTGTGGTAGGGTGACTTAATTATTACTTTATGATGATGGTGTAATACTAGGCAGTGCTGCGGAAATAAGAATCAATTGCGAGAAGATGTTTATAACTTTATATTTTTTTGCTTTATAAAGGTTTGAAAAGTTACAAAGGTGATATTTTAAAACAATTCATATTGCAGAAGTAATATGCTTTGCAGATGCAAATATAAAATACTAGCGTGTCAAGCATTAAAAGAGTTAATGACGGGTGCCAAAGCCTACCCAAAAAAAACTCGGATAAAGAATTTATTTATGAATTGTTATGATCTCAAAAAGTGTTTGGATGGAAATCAAACCATGGTTTTAAAAGTATTTTTACAATTTACAAAGTAAATATATGGAGGAGTTTGTTTCATTTTGCAGAAAAGTGCTTTTTAAAAGCACTTTTAAGGACTGTTAAACACCCCTTAAGTTGGATTACATAAAATTTTTATATATAAATATGTTGGCAAAAAGAAAAATAACTATGTCCGAATAATCCATTAATTTTTAATATTAAATAATAAACCTTTCTAAACTTTTAAATTCGGATGCAATTATATATTCATGTAGAGTTTATTTTTGTGTTCATATTAGCTCTTTATTTTGAGTTATATGCAGATAATTTTCATAAATTTGAAGTTATATGCTGATACATGATGAAAAAAATTAATCATAGAGGAGATAATTGCATAAATATAAGAATTTAGAGAGGTTTATCTTAAAGTTTCAAATGTTAAAGAGGTTACCAATGCATATATATTTTCCATCAAAAATCAATACATATACGTATGTATTGCTTGACTTGTTGGGGAGTAAACGCAATGCGTCAAAATAATCATTATCTTTATATAATGAATTTATAAGTTAAAAACTAATTGTTATCTGTTTATTTCCATCATTTTAAAATTAAAATAATTCATTGTAATTAACATAAAAAAATTTCCTGGATTAAATTAAAACATTGAATTCACAAAATTCTCCATATTTTTTGTGAGAGAGAGAATGAGAGAGTTGCAGCATCCGAGGACCCGACCCGATTTCCCCGGGGTATATGATCCATGGACCTTGAATCCGGCAATAGTTCCGGCATCCATGTCTCTGTTGTTGCAGAGGCGACTTCTCTGCACCAACGTGCACAAGAAATGGAAGGTGAAGCAGGTAACGAAGACCAACTTCCAGGAATCCTTGAAGGAGTTAGAGACCCATGTTTCAAACTCTGACTTCGTAGCAGTATCTATGGAGAAGACAGGCTCTTTCTCGGCTTCGTGGCACCGTGTGCTTCCCTTCGACACGGTGGAAATCGCCTATTGCAAGGCCAGGCACTCCGCCGAGCGGTTTCAGCTACTTCAGTTTGCTGTCTGTCCATTTTCAATTGCCGACTCCAATAAGTTCATCGCTAACCCGTGGGTACCACGTATCACCTTCTCTTTTGCAAGTTGCACAGGAAATTTTTATCATTGTCCTGACAAATGGAACATTTTCAAATTCTCATTGGGAATGATATCTTTTGATTTGATTTTTGATCCCTCCATTGTTTTAATGCTTCCTTTAACATATTTCATGGCTAGGAGTAATTGAGTCAAACAATAAGAGTGGCAGGGCCTCAAGTTTCCAAATGAGCAATTTGTTATCTGTCAACCAATGAGAGGTTACATTGAAAGAAATTATTTGTAGTGGAAAAAAATTCAAAATGCACTTATCTATCAAGGGTGACAAGAGAGTTTCCTTTCCAAGTGATGCTTGTAGAGTGGAAGGGGGGACGACAAAGTGACCTAACGGATATGGTGCAGGTACAATTTTCTTTTGTTTCCCAGAGATGAACTGAGAACGGGGATGCCTTCTTATAATTTTTCATGCCAAACATCATATCTGACGTCCATGGCTCGTGAAGGTTTTGATTTCAATGCTTGCATATACGATGGTAAAGTTTCTTAATGTCCTGATTTTTTTCGTTACAAATTCTTTTGGTCTGTAAAAAGCTATTCGTATTAAGGGAAATCGTAAGAGCGCAATGACTGAGTGGTTTTGGGACTTGCTGAGTGCGGTTTTGGAGTTTTTCGCTTCCCTTTGTGGTTGAATAAAATTATGACTAAAGATAATCAACTGCTCAGGCTCCGTTGATATAAGTGTTATTTGTTTGCTTGGACAAAGCCTGCTGCTATTGTTCATCTTCCACTATGCTAGTCTTTTTTTTACACTTTCTTTCTCATATGCTGAGCATAGAAGGATCTCTTCCTTTTTCATTTCTAGGATGATGCTGTGGAAGGAAATAAGAATGAAATCTGCATTAATCTCCCTTTCTTCCTTCAGAATCAGTAAGACTAAGAACCAAATTGAAAACTTTCTTCTGCCTTAGTTGGCATAAGGCTTGATTAGGTTCACTAGCCATTTTTTCTTTAATACGATTTGAATGTATACCTAAAAAGCATAAACAATTTGTGCCATCTATATATCAATCAATCACTGCTTGATTTCCTCTAATAGTAGGATTTGAGGACTTGCTTGTGCCCCTGGACAGATATTGTTTTCATGCTCATTCCACCAATATGTGTGGCCTACTTAAATATGTGGATATGGATAGCAAATGCCATGCTATTTTAAAAGAGTCTACAACTCTGCTACTTATTTTGAGGCGCTGATGTGCTTTCTTAACCCTGTGTGGCAGGTGTATCGTATCTATCTAGAGTACAAGAGTCTAAAGCTAAAATGCAGATAGGGAATTACATGCCTTGTCCTAATGTGAATAACTCTTCTTCAACCTCTACTACTGCTGATACTGTTTTTGTTGAAAGGATTAAATCACGGATCAAATATTGGATAAAAAGTTGTGAAAAGTGTGGCAAAAGCACAAGCAAAGATGGTAAGAATATCTTCGGCAGATTCTTTTGGATTAAGGTCGTTCTTCGAACTTTCCTTTATTCTTTAACCATGCAGATGCTCTCCTCGCCTCCCTTAGGAAAATTGTGATGGGAAGTGAAATGTTCGGCTCAAGACATTGTCTCACAATAGATGTTTGCAGTGATAGACAAGTGCAGCTGATTCTGGAGGTAGAATGAAGTAACAATGTCTTGACTTTTAAGCATATGCTAGCTTGATCACCCCCACTTCATATAACTGATCAAATCATTTTTCTTACTTACTTTGGGGTTGTGTTTGTTGGATTTTGTGGTGGCTGTAGATGCTAGTAAACTTTCCCAATGTTGTTCCTTTGCTGGTGCCTGGAAAGGGTAATACTGCTCTGGCTATCTGTCTTGTTTTGATGAAGTCGGAAGAGGATAAGGATTTGTTTGAGGTGATGATAAGTTTTTAATCTCGTCTAGTTACTGGAAACATTTCCCCTTCTCTTGAAATAATAATGACTTTACTCGGCAGAGGGAGCGTCAAAAATTAGAAGAGGAGGAGAACAAGAAGCTTCGTGGGTTTCGAGAGGTGATCGAGTTGATTTCTGCTTCACAGAAACCTGTTCTCTTCCACAAATGCCTTGATGGTGTATATCCTAGATGGAAACCTCCTAATTTAGTTCTCTTATGTTGTTGGCCTGGTCTACTTCCCTCTGTTAACTTTTTATTTATTGTTGTTATTTGCAGATTGTGCGTTTATTCATTCAAAATTCATTGCTCCCCTTCCTTCTGAAGTGAATGAGTTTATAAACTCTTTCCGTTCAGTTTTCTCCCATGTAATTGATGTGAATCATATGACGAAGAAATTTGAGGCTGTGAGAAACATGACCAGCATATCTGCTGCTTTATTGTACTTGAAGAATCATTTTTTTGCAACTGTTGATGTGGAAATTCCTGACCAGGGTAAGCCTTCATCCTGATATTCGCACCTATCCTCAAGCTACTTACCATGTTTATGTCATCAATCCTTGCATGCATCACTTCCGAAAATTTAAGAGCCATGGAGAATTCGTCCCTTTTTATTTCATTTTCTTTTTGGGTAAATGACGTCTAAAGCTGGCAATTTAATCATATGTTTTCTTTCTTTCTCTTTTACTTTCCTGTTTTTCGATTCAGCTACTACAAATGAAGGCAAGAATGATGGACTTGATGCATTAAGGATATGCTATTTATTTATGAAGATCTGCTCTATATTGAAAATTTCCCCATGCGTTACTGAATCTGGCAATAAGCATTTGGCCGCTGAGCTTCAAGACTTCACCAATGTATTCCATCCATGGACAGCTGATTCCAGAGAGTTGGCTGATGAGAGCATTAGCATCTGGGCAAATAATACAAGAAAAGTTAACAGTGAACAATTGGTTTTCTTATGGGGAGTTCAGTTCAGGATCACGGCAAGCATGTTGAAGAATCTACTTCAGGAATCTCATGGCATCTTTTCTAGAGAGTTTGACGTTAAACTGGTGGATAAAGATTGTGCCATTGTTGTTTTCTGGGAACCTGGGTTGTCAAAAGCTTTTATTAATGCAATGAGTAGTGAACAAATTAGTGGATTGTTGAGGGAATTAGTATCAAATGGCCTCAGGGTAGCCAGTTATGACACTTACAGGACAGTTTGTAGGTTAGGTTTGTGGGAGGCCCGTCTCTCAGAGTCGCTGGATGGAGCTCTGGAAAAGTCTGATGGAGAATTTTCCAGTATTTGCTGCCATAATGATAATGTAATGAACTTGGATAATCGTTGATGGTTACATGATCGTTTTAATTGAGAAGGCAAATTCTTTTAAGCCTTTTTGTGTTTTTCCTTTACTGCCTTGCAAGTAGCTGGACATGTTTTTTTTCCCTGAATTCTTTTTATTGGTTCATGCCTCATCAAGTATCGAAGTAGCAGTTTCTCAAGAACTGATATAACTATATACCGATTAGCTTGCTTGTCTAGGTCACTATATGATGGCGAGTAGTATAATTTTACGCACCCTTTGCATATAGGATGAAGGAATTTGCTTTTAGCATGTTGGGGTTAGGCCTTAAACTGACCCCAAAAAAAAAAACAAAACAAAACAAACAAAGCAACCTCAAAATAAGATAATTACAGCAGGGGAAACTTGATTAATTTACCTCCAATATTTATTTACGAGTGCCTTCAGCCACTAATTAATTTCACCGTTACTGTTTTTGTCCTCCCCAAGTAGGCTTCGCGGACACGGGGAAAGCAGGACACTGTACGGTTTTTCGAGGAAGCAACGGCGAATCGTGACGTTAGGCTCTTTCAAAGAAGCATAACATGTGAAATCAATTCTTAACTAATACAAACGACAATTCTTTTATAAAAACTAGAAAATCAAAACACACAGACCAACACAGAAGTCACTCTGATAATATAAACTAAGCATTAGTTGGTGGTATGGGATTAATGGGAAGGCTCATTGAAAGCCGGCACGGAATGTCTCCAGTCTCCACTAGGATATATTTGTATTGACGTCGAGTAAAACTGACTTCTAACTCAACTGATTTTTATAACTAAAGTTAGAATAAAAATCAGTTAATGTAATGCAATTTATATTTGGATAAATACTTTTAAAAAGTTAGTTGAAAAAATTAAAAGTTATTTGGATGATTAATAAAAAAATTAGTTTTGTTGTAAAATAATTAAAAAAAAAACATAGAGTAGTGTTTGAAAAAGGACATGGAGTAGTGTTTGAAAGTTTAACTGTGAAGTTAGTTTAGTTGTAAAATATTCTCTCCATTTAATTTAAACGCAGCGTTTAGGGTGAAAAACAAAACTGATCAGGTTTTCTTTTTCGCGATCTGGATGCCGTCCATGAATATGCTTCAGCTGATCGTGTTCCTTCATCAGAACGGGAATCTCCTTGGATTGCCTCCAAAAAACTTCACGAGTGGTCTGTGAAAAGAAATCATCGGAGAAAAGGAGTGTTGTTGGTTTATTTTCATCCCTTTTAAGTTTTTGGCTGGTGACTTCTTATAATCTTTTAACCAGAAAAATAATAAAGCAGGGAACCGTTTGGTTTCCATTCTTTCTATACCCACCTCTGCAGTTCACATTTTGTACCATAAATCAAGTTAAAAAGTGATAAAAGCCCCAGAGCCATTCGATGAAATCATAATAATATATATACATATTAGAGGCCATCCTTGTGGGATTGAGAAAAATGTCCCAAGAAAGTGCATCAGATCAAACCAAAACGAGGTCTTAATTAATAATCAAAACGGGAATACACAAATTATCAAGCTCGACCACCTCAAAAATGAATAGATGGCATGCGGGGATAAACAGAACAAAGATCCTCTATTCGAAGTTGTTTCATCTAATCAGCCTTGGAAGAGAACGAATCTCATCGTATTATATTTCAAAGAGCACCACAGTAAACAAGGATGATGAAGAGCCCGAACATTCAGAAATCTCTGTCGGATGAGAGGACCGTGATGGGTGATAGATGAATGAAGAGGCCACTCTATCATGACTAATTACCAATGGTATGAGGACGGCTAGATGGGTGAAGGAAGAGAACCGTAAGCCACTGTGCCGACGACAATGGGGTTGACGGGTGAGGACTGAGGAGCAACAACGGAGAGAAAGAGAAAAGATAATGAAATGGCAATTAACGGCTCAACGTCATTGCATAAAGCGGCGGCCCAGATTTTGTTTTTAACCCTAAACGCTGCGCTTTAATTAAATGGAGAGAAATGGAGGGAACCTGCAATGGAGACGTTCCGTGCCGCATTGAAAGCATATTTTGAAAAAAGTTAATCAGGACGTGGATCCCAGGCTGTTCTCTCTGACAGACCAAGCAGCCATCACGAGAAACACGAGCTCCTTTTTGATTAATTACTTGGTTGGTTGGTTGTCACCTCACGTGGCTTAGCTTGCAAAACTATGGTCATATTTCTTCTATATAGGCCACGAACTGTCAGAACATAGTCTTTCCAGATTCATCTTTGCTAGATCTAGTCACCGAACTCCACCAGAGTCTCTCTTTTTGTCTTGGAAGGATGGCCGAGCAAGTCCCATATGGCGTGGCTACAAGTCTCATCAACACTTTGGCTTCAGCAGCCTTCAGGGAGGTTGCTTCCATTTATGGGGTTGAGACTGAGATTGAATGGCTGAAGGAAACTGTTAAAGACATCAAAGCCGTGCTTGCTGATGCTGACAAAAAGCAGCACACTGCGGAACTCATCCAGCGCTGGATAACGAAGCTAAGACAAGTTCTTTACGAAGCAGATGACTTGCTTGATGAGATCCACACTCAACATTTGCTACGCGAGAGGGATGGAAAGGGAAAGGTACGTGACTTCTTCTCGTCCTCCAACCCAATTGCTTTTCGCCGCAAAATTGCAAGGAGGATTAGAAAAATCAGAGGGAAATTAATGGTGTTGTTGAAACTATGTCTAAGTTGAATTTAGATCGAAGAGATGTTGAAACGAAGCATGAAAGGAGGAACTGGAGGGAAACTAGTTCTTTTGTGCTCCAAGAGGAGATGGTTGGTAGGGAGGGAAACAAGAAGGACATAATTGATTTGTTGTTGAATGATGATAATAGCCATCAAAAGGTTTCCTTGGTTGCTATTGTCGGCATCGGGGGTTTGGGTAAAACTGCTCTTGCTCAATTGGTGTACAATGATGCTGACGTGGAACGTTTTTTCGACAAGCGAATGTGGGTGTGTGTTTCTGAAGATTCTAATGTAAATGCACTTGTTAAGCAGATACTCGAATCATTACTTGGCAAAAAACAGGACGATCAATCATTAGAACTACTTCAAAATGAGCTGCAACAAAATTTAGCTGGCCAAAAATTTGTGCTAGTTTTAGATGATATTTGGGATGATTTTCCCGTAAAGTGGGGAGAGTTAAGGAACTTTTTGGCGTGTGGTGCTAAGGGTAGTAAGATTTTGTTGACTACACGCAATCAGGCGGTAGCCAATAAAATAGGTGTAAAAACGCCATATCTTTTGGAAGGACTGACAAATGACCAATCTTGGACTCTGTTGAAAAGGTTGGCATTAGAGGAAGATAAAATGATGACCGAAAATCTGGAGTCTATTAGCCAAAAAATTGCAGAAAAATGTAAGGGTGTTCCGCTGGTAATAAGAGTAATGGGGAGTTTGTTGCGCTCAAAAGAGCAGGAAAGTGATTGGGAAGCTATTTTGGAAGGTGACTTTTGGAAGTTATGTGAAGACAATAATTCAATTATGCCAGTATTGAAGTTAAGTTATGACAGTTTGGCAGTTGAATTAAAACAGTGTTTTGCTTATTGTTCTTCATATCCAAAAGATTGGATATATAAGAAGGATATATTGATTGATTTGTGGATGGCACAAGGCTTCCTTGAAAGTGAAGTTGAGAAACGATGTCCAGAAGATGTTGGCGAAGACTATGTCCATGTTTTGTTGATGAAGTCTTTCTTGCAAGATGTCTGGATGGATAAATTAGGTGAAATCAAAGCTTTTAAAATGCATGATTTGATGCATGACTTGTCCCGATCAATTATTAGCCCTGATCATTGTCTATATGTTGAGGGGAGACAAAATGTTGTGAGGTGTACCATACATGCTTCTCTTAAAGAATATAACTTTGATAGTTCACAAGATTTGCGGGGCTTTGGTAGATCGAGAACCGCTCTCAAAACAAAGAGAGAATATGAAAAGAATTCATCCCATTCTTTTGTGTTCACGCGCTTGCGCAGTCTAGATTTGTCACATAATTGCAAAAGTGATTTGCTTGAATCAATAGGTAAAATGAGCCATCTGAGGTATCTTAATCTCTCTAGGTGTTCTCAATTGACTCGTTTGCCCGAAAGTATTAGCAACTTGGTCAATTTGCAGACATTGAGATTGGAAGGTTGTGATAATCTTAAATTTTCTAGGGATATTATCACAAAGTTAATACACTTGCGTCGACTTGATATAGAAGATTGCACGGCCTTTGAAGATGGGATGCCGATTGGGTTGGGCAGAATGACGACTCTGCAAAATTTGTCACATTTCATAGTGGGTGATGATGATGAGAAGAGAAAGAAGGCCAAGTTGAATGAATTAAAAGAACTTAATCTCAGAGGTAGGTTAACCATTGAGAAACTTGGTTTAGTGAGGAATGTAGAGGAGGAGACCGAGAGTGTTAATTTGAGAACAAAGAAAAACCTCATTTCCTTGACCCTGAATTGGGGACAATATTCAAAAATGAGAAGTCATGATGCCATGCAATTATTGGAAAATCTTTGCCCTCATCGAAATTTGAAGGCATTGAAAATAGAAGAGTACCCAGGGATATGCTTTCCCGATTGGCTTTTGTCATGTACAAATCTTGTTCGATTGCAGTTCTGGGAAATCCACAATTGTCAGTATTTGGCAGCGTTGGAAGGGCTTGTTTCTCTCAAGGCTCTTCGCATAATGGGGATGGATAAATTGGAGTGCATATATTATAAAGAATGTTCCTCATCAACTAACTTCTTCCCATCTTTGGAGGAATTACGCATTACGAGGTGTGGAAGTTTGAGGGGATGGGTAAGGGAGGGAGATATCCAAAATACTAGAGATGTTGAGTGGCATCATTCTTTAACTCCATTTTCACGTCTTTCATTCTTACAAATTCAGGGTTGCCCACAGCTAAACTACATGCCTACTTTTCCAAATCTCGTGAGGTTTTTGCAATTAAATGATTGTAGCGCAAAGCCATTGCTGGACACACTAAATGTGAAAACACAGTTTGCTGAATCTCTATCCATGCTTAAGCTTCTTGTCATTGATAGGATGTGCATGGAAGAATTACCTGAGGGATGGATGCAAAATCTCTCCTTTCTTGAACATCTTGCTATTGAGCGTTTTTCGAGTCTAAAGAAACCATTCCATCATATGCGAAGTTTACCTGCAACACTAAAAAAATTGTGGATTCGCGACCTTGATTCACAGTATGTTGATGTGGGGTGTCAAGACCTTCGTTGCCTACATTCTCTCCAAGAAATCGATTTTTCTTACTGCGATCACCTCATGGCTTTACCTGAGTGGATTTGTGATCTCCACTCACTCCGACATATCTTCATTAGCTCTTGTCCAAACTTGGAGTCATTTCCTGAAGGAATGCATCGCCTTGCTAATTTACAAACACTAGAGCTGTTTTCATCTCCACTTCTAAAGGAAAGGTGTGAAAGAGAAACAGGAGCAGAGTGGCCAAAAATTGCTCACATCTCAAATCTACGGATCGCTTGACATCAAATCAAACTCTTCATCGCATACATGTAAAGGTATACTCCCAAGTAACTATTATGCCATTGATAAAAAAAAAAAAAAAACTTGGATGATTTCTATAACTACTTTATTTTTTAAAAAAAAATTAAAATGCACTACAAACAAGATCTTATATATTTAGGATCTTTATATAAGAATTCATTACTAGAATGCTTCCTAGGTTTTAAACTCCACTCCTCTTAGTAATTAACGTTTGATTGCAGCTGATCACAGTTTCGAAAAGAGAAGGCTTCGCAGAGCAAGCCCTGCCCAATGGATCTTTAGAACAAGGTACACTGCTGCTACTTAACTGGATGATTAATTACTATACTGTTCGCCAACCAACCAGCTTGTGCACTCTTTAAATCTCAAACTAGTTTTGTCCAGCTACGTGGATTGTAAAACTTTGAAAACATTGAAAAAGGTAATGGGTTACCTGATGATTACTTTTATTTGCTCTGTTTTTTCGAAAATTATTGAACAACTAATAAATGCTCCAGCCTACTCCAAATTTGACACTTCCTCTGCTACTTTAGTTAATTTCAATCCTTTTCTCATTCAATCATCATAATTTCATGGTTTCAATTCAAATTTGAAAGTTTTATTAATAGTAATTCGAAATTGAAGGAACCATGATATGTTAACTATTTTTATAACTTGGCAGGTATTCAATTTGGGATAAAGAAAGAGAGAGTTTTCAGATACCTGTGCTTACTCATACTAGCCCATACTTGATCCTATATATTTCATATTAAAAGTTTAGCTATTCACTGTCTCGTGTTTCATCTTTTTAATTAAAAAAAAAAATCCTCGATAAAAATACTTTATAAATATGAAATAAAATAAATATTTAAAACTTATAATAAAATCTAATTAAATCTCCCACTGTGTTTCCTGCGTGAGGGAGAGAGGAAGAGAGCTTTCCGCTCCGTTTTGTTTTTGCATCAAACGGGTTTGACCTTATTGCTGGCCCAATGCTTATTTCATACCAAGCCCACATCTGGCCCATTCCACTCAAAATCTGTATCCTTCGTTACATTATATCCTCAAGTCTTAAACTCACGATTTGAAATTCCCCTTAAAATTTTTTTCCCCCGAACTAAGTTCATCTTAAACGCATCTTTAGTCAAACTAATCCTTCCAAGTTGGGTTTCCTACTTCAGTATAACTTTTTCTTCTCCTCAGATCACTGAAGATAAAAGATCATCGGTCTCCATACCAACTTCTTTGGATACACCATCTGCAGGTAAAGAATAGATAATATTGCTTTTCAAGAGGAAAATTAAAAAATAAATTTCAATACATGCTATTATTCTATTCGAAGGCATTCCTATCCAAGGTTTCAAGCTCCAGAAAATCTTTATAGCTCTAGATGTTTTCAACAACTCTTGTTTAAGGCATATCTTGCTATGGGTATTACACATGGGAAAAGACTTGTTTAAGGAAGGATCTGAACTTACCTTGATTTGCTTCAAGAAGTAGCTTGCGGATCCCACTCATGTTTGCAGAGCCTCAGAACGGGGATTGGATAATGAACTTAAACAACTCCTGCTTTTTTTTTTCTAAAGTAATTGTTTCTAAATGTAATGACTATAGGTTTTTTTATCCCTTTTTTCAGACCTTTTTACAAGTAACTAACTTTGTGATGTAGACTAATAATTTTATTATAGTGTTAATCATTTTGCCTTTTCTTCCAAAAAAAAAAAAAAAAGAAGTCAAATTTATCCTTATTTACACGAAAGACGTGCCAAAAGAACAAAATGATATTGAGTAAAATGAAAATTTATAAGATTTATGTTACAGATCATCAAAATAAAATGAAAATTTTGGGTGTGGTTTTTTTCTCTATCAAATTAAAAAGAAAAGGGAAAAAAATTGGCCATCTTAAAGACCGTTTATGAAACCCAATTTTCGCTACATAATATTGAACGAAAAAAAATAAAATGATACTTTTCCCCCAAGTAATATGTCATGCCATTTTTATGCTCCATGATAATAGTGATTGAATTACTTTGCATAAATTTCATAGTAATTTCAAATTAATTAAGGTTTTATCAATTTGGAAGTACATTCTTGCCACTGTTCTCTGCACATTTGTTTAGTTATTATTCTTCAACAAGCCGAAAGAGTTAGAGCCCTGGGGTACATGTCCAAACCCCCCCCGTTTCTCCCGATATCTCAGTTCAACAAGTTAATCCTACCAGTCCTAATGTTATGTTATCCCCAAGGCAAGTGATACTTACACAATTAATATGCCTATGACCCCTTCTGCGTCACCACCACACGAAGATAACCAACTAGGCTTCGTAGTTTTTGCTGTTGAACTTGTAGGTTCTCTGACTAGATCTTGCTGTTTGTTCAAAACCAAAACGCAACCAGGTTCTGATTTATGTTGTGGTGGCTTGGCCTGCACTGCCATTCTCTGTCTCTTCAATTCCTCCGGTGTTACATAAGAAAAGGCCTAAGAACATCTACATTTCTGATTGGCAAGCACGCTAGCTAGGATTCATAGGAATAATGGGCATGCTTTTGCCTTCAACTATCACTTGGTGCTTCACTATCTCTGCCTTCTTTCTTTGCATGTTAATGTTTGCCAAATTTGCTTCAGTGAGTGTAATCCACTTGAACTTGCATCTAACTATGAGAAGAAAATTAAAAAGAAAAAATTGAGGGGGCATTTTAGTCTCTGTAATGCATTTTATGATAGAACCAACCATTCAGACATGCGCATTAAATAAATAAGAATGCTGCAAGTGAAGCCAGACGAAGATAATTGCTCTTTATACAATCTAAAATGATAGTCTGTTTAGCTCTGTTTTTTATTATAAAGAAACAGAGATAAACATCATAACAGCTATAGATAATGGCTCTGTCATCACATTTTAATCAGTTGCCAGCCGTCAGATACATGTCAAGAACTTCTAATAAAACTTACACATTAGCATAAAGTTAGAGGAAGCTAAATTTTTCGAAAAATCGTTGCCATTAAGCTCCTTGGGTATCAATTAAAAAAAAAACTATTACCGTAAAAACAAACCTAATTAACAACTAAAAACACCTCTGTTTACGTTTTATATATTTGAATATGCACTTGGTAGAGCTGGTTTTCACATCCAAGAATACCTATACAATATTTTTCATACAAAGAGACATTCAGTACATGATTCTCTTAATAGCGTCTTCATCATATACCAAATAGACAACTGTGTGTTTTACTTTCAATTCACAAGCAAAAGTGACTATAACCTCCACTCTGTTACCAGTCTCCAAATTAGAGATGATGTCTTGCCAATTATCTTCATCATTTGAAGCAGTTGTTGCATCTTTTTGGTACAATTTAATGGTACCCTTTGTATGATTTGATACCAGGACACCAACAGGATAATATACAGACGTCATGTTGTCTTGAGAAGACAAATAGATTATGCACAGAATCAATCCTTTTAAGCTTCTGCCAATAATTTTAGGAACTTCAAAGCATATTGAACATCCTTCACCTTTGAAATTCTGCCAATGAGGATAATTGTCTCCGGGAAGAGAATTAACTCCAAATCCTTTTTCATTCCATCCCTAAGTCATGAACATAATAGAGAAGAAGCCAATTAACCTTTATAGACCAATAGGTTAAATGCCTTTATTGCTTAACTCAACATGGTTGAGAATGAGGTTCGGATATTAATTGATTGGGGTAGATTTATTTCCGAATCAATTGAAAGTAAACATTTTCGGATGAAGGTATACAGTACAAACCAATATTTGAATATGTAGTGCAGTATGCTTTAAAACCTTATTAAACATGCATAACCTATTCAAAGTTACATGTTATTTTAAACATAATTGGAAGTTTCTAGATGCCTTCTAAACACTTAAAAAACATAGTTAATGTGAATTATTATGCATTTACGCTTGCTCATAGATCATTATAAGTGTACGCCTCCCCTAAACTACATGATATTAATAAAAGCATGCATTGAACTTTTAAGTTAAACACGTACAAAAAGGCATTCTTTTTGAAACATAACTAAACTATGCATGGTGGCAGTAGAGAGATAAAGAGAATAACCTGTGAAATGCTCCTTAAAAGTGTGTTTATAACTTCGTTGAACTCGCCTACATGAATTGTTATAGAACTCATGAATGTTTTTGATCTTTCCTTGTGAACTTGCTCGCCAAAACCAATCAATGCTGGAGTCTTTTTACATGAAGCTTGAGATGATCGTTGTTTTGCTTTAAACATTTCACAACTTTTGGTAAACAAAGGATGTGAAAGAATCTTGATTAACGATGGCATGATCCTAAATGCTTGAAACAAGGACTTTGAATGATTTGTTGGGGGCATCCAAGACAAAATAAGAGATGGAAATACATCACGTGACAATCCTTCATAACCACATAAAGAAACATATTTAATGTTCTTTAATCTCACCAGTGAGATGGGTGCTTGTGTTATAGCAGTTTGAGTTGCCACCAAAACCGTTAAGGATTCCATTTTCTCAATGTCTTCATCCAACCTTTCAATCTTTGAACAACCAAAAAGATTGAGAGTTCTCAAAGATTTCAAGTCATATATACTTCTTGGGAGATGCTCTAAGCCAATGCAATTTTTCAAATTCAACATAATAAGATGCCTAAGATTTCCAATGGAAGGGTGAATCATAGACAAACGTGGACAGTCTTTAAGTATCAACTTCTCAAGATGTGGTAATTTTGAAAAGTCAGGTGTTTCTGTTAGGTAATGAGAATGACTCACATTGAGAGTTTTCAAGGATTCCAGCACCTATACAAAGAGATTATTTCAAAATGAAAATCATAAATAAAATAATACGAAAAATAACACAAATCCTGTTACTAATATTTTTAATTTCAAAGGCTCATTCCAAATACCTGACTTTTCTCCCACACTTTTGTGAGATTACTCCACTTTAAGTCAATGGCGACTATCTTCTTTACATTAAAGTCTGTTGGCAAACTCTCTAAGAGAAATCCACGCCAACAAAGCCATCTCAATTCTTTTGATAGATAATCATATTCTCCATTAAGCTGTACATTATCAAGATTGAGTAAACGAAGCCTCTTCATATTCTTAAATGCATTTGTACCGAAGGATACTGAATTGCTTCTTGGCATTTTTAATGATAATCCCTTGGTAGCTATTGTTCCCTGTGAAATAGGAAAAGACGAGAGAACAAAAAAATATAATCTATTGTCAGCAACTCAAGGAGTGCATAATGAATGATGAAGAAACAAATATATATTAAGATTTAAATGCAAGAAAACTAATAATTTGTGAAATTAAACATTCTTACAGTGTTGCTTTCTAACACATCCAACACCTCATCGTTAAAACATAATATTGTACGCTTTTCTGGCTCCTCTGGTGATTGCCCACGAATGATTTCTCTTCCCATATCACGTATTAAGCCATGCATATCAAGTATGCTTTTGTTTCCAGATTTTACAACCTTTACTAGGCTTCGCTCAATTAGATGGGTAATTCCAGTTTCTGCATAAAGTCCACAACCATCTAATACCTGAATAGCATAGCTTCTGTCTTTCCCAATGAAAAAACAACATATGTCCAAGAAAAGCTCTTTCTCTATTTGTTCACTCAAATCATCATAACTTATTTTTAGAATTTCATATATTTTACCATCTGGAATTCGTTCCAATTTACTCAAAGTGCTTTCCCAATAAGGTATTTTCCTATCAAACAAATATGAGCCAAGGATTTCAAGAGCTAGTGGCAGACCTCTACAGTATGCTACTACCTTTCTTGAAAGTTCAGTGAAATTTCTTTCAGGAAGCGCTTGCTTAAAAGCATGCCAGCTGAAAAGCTCAATAGATTCATTATCATCCATTCCCCTCACATTAAATACTTTATCCACTTGAAGGATCTGAAGTAGGCGTTCATCTCTTGTAGTAATAATTATTCTACTACCATGACCAAACCACTGACGACTGCCACATAACACTTTGAGTTGGTCTTCATTATCCACATCATCCAATACAAGAAATACTCTTTTTTGACAGAGACTTTGCTTGATTATAGATTTTCCTATCCCTACATTCAGTAGGTTGATCCTTCTTGTTCTTAAGATGCTAGAGAGAAGTTGTCCTTGCAAATAAACTTGACCATTGTCTTGCTTCCATACTTCCCTAATATTTGCTAGGAAACTCTTTCCCACAAAGCTTTGCCCCATTTCATTATAGATAGTTTTAGCCATCGTCGTCTTACCAATCCCTCCCATCCCCCAAATGCCTATTATGGTAATCCCATTTGATTCACTTAGAAATTGGATGATATCTTGCATGCGAGACTCTAAACCGACTGGATGGTGAGCAACGAAAATATATTCCCTATTGTCTAGCCTCATTGTGATAGTTTTAACAACATCATCAAGTAACTCAGCCTCAATTCTGGCAACATCAAGAAATTAGATTACTAGAATTCTGCCAAGAATCAAAAGTGCATGGTATAAAACTGTAATAGCAAGAACATGATTGACATGTATAGTTAGCCATAATAAGAAATAAGAATAACATGTTGGAAAATGACCAAGTTTTGCTGCTAGATTTCATCCTTCTATTCTTGTATTACCTATATTCCATGATTGATTAGAACATCAGTTATTTTCATTTTTAAGATAACTGGAGTCAACTCATCTCTTAGGGCCTAAGTATAGAAAACTTGAGCTCACAAAATTCATATAGTGTATTATGCTTGTCTATATACCATATACCTTTGTGCATATATTTAATGTTCCTTTGGTCTTTAAGTAGGTAAGTATGTAAAATTAGCTTAATCATGAATCTACGTTTGTTACAAACAAAATTATGGCATTCAACATACATAGACACAGAAAAGTGAACTTAAGAAATTTAACTATTTTTTTTGGCCAAAAAAGGAATTTAACTATTTCAAATAATACGTAAAGAAGACAATAGTACCTGTAGTTTTGTGTATGCCACCCTGATAAGTTAGCAACCTCAACAAGGACTTTCTTCAAATTGTTTGTCGATTTTTCACCTTTACTACTTGAGGGTCTTGTTATAAACCTTTCCCATGCTTTTCCAAAGGCATTTTGTTGTTTGCGCACATCAGATGGTTGCACATCATAGAATATAGGAAAAACCTCATGATCAGTTGTTTTGTAACACTCCATGATTTTCTCTAATTCTTGCAAGCACCAACTAGAGTCAGCATAATTTTCTGAGAATATAATAATTGAAATTCTAGAATTTTCAATTGCTTGCAGTAATGAACATGAAACTTGTTCTCCCCTTTCAATTCTCTCTTCATCCATGAAGACTTCAATTCCTGCTTGTTTTAGGGCATTATAAAGATGAGTAGCAAATGATTTACGCGTATCTTCGCCTCTAAAACTTAAGAAAACATCATAAGTATGTATGAAATTTTGCTTGTTTGTTGGTGCGATTTCCCTTCCTATTTCTTGCAGCAGGTCATGCACATGAATCTTGTCATTGATAACCTTTACAAGGCTACGCTCAATAAGTACTTGCATTGCCATTTCTATGGGCAATTTTGTGTAGCTCTTTTTGGCCAACAATGGGAACCTTGAGCTCTCAAACAAATCTATAACATAACTTTTACTCCGTCCCACATACAAGTGCGCTACATCACAAAATAATTTCTTTTCTGAATATGCTAAAAGGTCTAAACTGATTTTAAGCTTATGTTGTATTTGGTCACCTGAAACCTTTTTTAATTTATTCAATATCTTTATCCACTCTGATTTTGTCTTATTATGCAAAAGAGAGCCTATGACTTCAAGAAACAATGGTAGCCCTTCACATAAAGTAATTACTTTCATAGAAAGATCCACAATATCATTTGTTGGACCAAAGTTTTTGAATGCATGCCAGCCAAAAAGCTCTAGAGACTCACGGTCGTCCAACTTTTCCACTTCATATGAGATGTCAACAAAGTCATCAAGTAAATCCTTATTTCTTGTTGTAATGAAAATCAAACTCCCTTTACCAAATTGCTCTCTATCTCCAGACAGTTCAGTAAGTTGACTTACTTGGTTTACGTCATCAAGCACAATTAGGGCTCTTCTATACGATCCCTGATTAATAGGTTTCACATGAATATCTGAAAGAAGTTGCTTTTGTAGAAGAACTTTACCATTCTTGTTCTTCCACACATCCTTGATATTAGCAAGGAAGCTTTTGCAATTAAAATGCCCACCAATTGAATCATAAATAGCTCTGGCAATGGTGGTTTTACCAATACCACCAACCCCCAAAATTCTGACTATGGTTGTACTTTCTTCACTGTGGGATTCCCAGCCTAATCGGCGAAGCACTTCTTTAACGCGAGATTGAACCCCTACTTGTGATATGGATTTTGCGATAAGGTTATGGACTACTTCTTGGTCCCTGGTGGCAAATTAAAATTAGAATTAGATTAAAAATTAATAGACCCAGGTACACGTGATGAAAAATGATCCTCCCGTCGTAAATATAGTACCTAATTAACTAATTTGAGTATATTAAATATGTTAGTTAAATTAGTTAATATAACATATTTTTTTCTAAAATATCCTAAGTATCTTCTATAATTCTCTCTTTTCCTTTCCTACTTGATTATTATTAAGAACATAGCAATAGGGCTAATGTGGAAAAAAAAATCTAATAAACATTTGAAATAAATCTTGTATATAGGACCAACATAAACTCCTCAATTAGATCCTATATTAAAGATTAGATGAGTATATTATATATATTCATGTATATGAAAATGTGAAAAAATGACCAATATGCCATTATGTGACATAATATATAAAGAAGATAGACATAACATATAAATAAATAACAAGTGCAGAACTCAAATTAACAACTTTTGAATCGAAAATGATGCTTGTCATTAGAATATAACTTGTGAATTGAAAATAACAATAATAGAACTCGAATTAACAACTTTTGTATAGGAAATTTTAAGTTTTGAATTAGTAAGCAGAACTTGTTTTTAGGATATAACTTGTAAATTGAAAATAATAGGTTGTGAACTGAAAATAACAACAATAGAACTTGAAAGAACAACTTAGTCACACAAGAATATTTTAGTCATTTCTCCATGCTTTCATAATTTTAATTTAGGTTTCTTCTCCTTTCTCGTCATTTTGAAACGTTAGCTACCTTTTTTAAATTTCCCGTATTCAAGATTCTTTTTGTCACTTTCACTTTTATGTTTTTGTTTTTTTGGCCATTTAGCCATGGCGTCAGCCCTCAGCCCTGATCCAAGTCTAAATATCAATTGATCTGATACGAACCACCTATTTTGTTAGTGGGGAGAGAAAAAGGCAGGCCACTAAACTGCCAACATTAATTTGAGAATTACATATCAAATCACAATGCTATTCACCAGCCAAACAAGTCATACAGGTTTCCTATACAATTTATTATAAAGACATAACTTTTTCGACTATTTTTTTTTTGAAACATATGATATAGGGAGAATTATAATAATGTTCTAATAAAATAAAATAACTACCAACAAGTTCTAATGACAAGTTAAATTGTCATTTTTTACTGTGAGACTTACCATTATAAACTATTTAATTTGTTATTAGAATTTTTTGATAATTATATTTATTCTTTAAGACTTGATTGCAATTTTTCATATTATATACGTTGTGAATTTCATGAATTCTAGCAGGCAGGTAAAAATCACAAAACTGGAAAAGCCGAAAAGGACTACTTGTTACCCAAAATCATGCGACAGTGTGAAGCCATATAGCGAAGAACACTCAGCGTTGGCTCTTCGTTGCGGATTCCGATAACCCCCAAATTCCCATAATCTCAATCCGTAAGCTTCACTCAATTCACTGAGATTCGCTCCATCGGGAATTCCTTCAATGCGAAATTTTCGCAAATAGAAACTCTCGAACTGCATACGAAATTCGTCGTGGCTCACTCCATAGAACAAAGGAAGCACTGTTTTGGGATACGATATTATTTTCTTCAATCTGTCAAGACATATGTCGGACGCAACCAACTCTGGTGTGATTACCACCATCACAATTCTACACCTTTCTATCATCCTCCATCTGGAGTAATCCCTGACCATGTCATGAATGCAAGTTTTCATTCCTGCGTCACTCAAACATTTCTCAAGAAAGGTTCTCAGACGACTTCCCAAACCATCGAAAGTGAAGAAGACATCGTATTCGAAAGTCAATTTGGGTTTGGACTGAGAGGATGATGAAGAGGCCAAAGAAAACATGGATTATTGATTGGTGTAGACGAAGATATGAAGATTTGGGTGAATGATGGATTCCTCAAATCACTTCTCTCTCTACCTCCAGCTGCAACCACCTTCTCAATCTGTTCTGTACCCTTAAGCTATATAAGCACCTTCGGCGAAGGTCACAGAGCACGTTCCCTGATATGGACCTCGATAAAAATAAATAAATAAATATTTAATAGAGTATATCTCTATTTATCCCATGCATAGTCAACATAATACTCCGGTTCTAAATATAAGACTCCTTTTGTAATATAATTTACACTACAAAAAGGATCTTATATTTAAAACCGGAGGAATATCTTATTACACTTCCCCTTTTTCTTAAACAAACATCATCACAGATTTCCCATCACCCAATATTGTGAAAGGTAACGCAATGTGATGACTCTCTAATTTTTATGGATTTAGCTATGTGAGACTATATGCTGTAGAGTAGTATTAAAAACAAACAAAACTAGTTGTAGCAATTATAGAAATGGATGGCTCCAGATTTTTAGCGTGGTCGAGTCCTTAGCTAGTTATCTTTATTCTTTAGGGCCTTTTTTGAGAGAGAATATAATAAAGATATGGGCTTCCCACATGCACGTAAAAACAATTTTAAATTTTCACCCGAAAGAAAAGCAATTTTAAAGTTTTCATTGTTTCCAATAAAAAAAGGGGATAATGTGTAATTTTTGTCCTGGAAGTATCTGGTTAGGAGCTATGAGTGTCCGGAAGTTTTTAAGTCTCAGTTTTGTTCCGAAAATTATGAAAACGTAGCTTAATTATGTCAATTTTGACTGTTAAATTTATTCAGATAATTAACTTATTTGACAATGAGGTGGCACAAATGCAGTAATGAAGGAAGCCAAAGACGGGCAAAGACTTCTGAAGTCAACAAGGAAGGAAAACCGCGTAATACTATAAGGTAACCCTAAGCTATAATTGCGCCTCGGTTCCATCGTTGTGATAAATTGCGCCTCCTGTCATGGTGGAAATCAATACTTACAGTATTATTTCTCCATTCACCATTAACAATATATAAATAAACATAAAGATTCCTTAGGTGACAATACTATGGAAGACAAACCGCAGTAGAAAGGTGTGTACATATGTGTGTGTATGGAGAGATAAGGAAAAAGACAAATAATGATCTTAGAATATACGAAATTTCTGTTTAGATTCTTCAATTTACATAATTCCTGCTGGAGACCCGGTCCCAAATAGAAGTTATGAAATACTAATTAAAAGTCAAAAATGCCCTTTTACTTCTCATATTCATAGACCCCAAACCCATCTTCTTCGGTCCACCTTCTTCAACCTAACTGAACACGTCTTCTTCAACCTAGCCTAATGATGAATGTTGGCTAGATCGAAGAAGAGGGGCTTGGGGTTTGCGAATATGAGAAGTAGTAGAGCACTTTTGTCTTTTAATCAACATTTCATAATTCTTACTTGGGATTGGGTTCTGATAAGAGTTATGTAAATTGAAGAACCTAAACAGGAATTTTATATATTTTAGTGTCTTTATTTGTCTTTTTTTTTTCTAAGGAAAAATCTAAATTAAATTAATCAGGAATAATCAAAACTAAAATTAGACATGCATTTACGTTCAATTTTTCTTTTTAATTAAAGAGGAGCATATTGGTCTTTTATAACATTTATAAATTCCTAATTAGTCCTATTGGCCTTATTAAGAATTTACCAAAAGTGTAAGTTTAAATTTATATTTTGCAATCTCGACTGGATTTAATTGAGACTTTTTCATTTTAAAATCTCAATTTGGGATTGGTTATTTTATTGGGATCATGTGAATTGGCGTACTTTTCTAATATTGCATAATTTGAGGGTCATTAATATCATTTTCCCTATTAATGGAGTCAGGACCCCATACCCCGGATGACGCAGGTAGACACTTTCTTTCACCTTGTCAAAAGACAAAATCAATACCTTGTCTTGGATCACCAAAAAAATAAAAATCATTACCTTATCTCTTTCCACATGGAATCTGGGCCTCCTGTATTTCTTTGAATTATCAAGGAGATGCTAATGCAATGATCCTTTTTTCTTCTTTTTTGACCAGGTCAAAGAGATATGTGAGGCCCAGATTCCAAGTGGAAAGATATGTGCAATGCGATGGTTTTCCCCTTTTGCTTCCTTTTTTAACCTTGGCCCTTTTCGCCTTCTATAAAACATTGAAAATCAGGGGTAAAAGTTGTGATTGAGATTAAAAAAAATATAATAAGAGTATTTAATATGAGTGATTGCTTTTCACTTAAAATTGAACAAATCTATATATGTGCGATTGGAAAATACTATAAGAGATAGTGGTATTTCCCAGTCCCATATAGATGGGATTGTCTAATTCCATATAATAAAATATTACTCATATTAAATATTTTTTAATGGTTTTTCTCAATCTCAATCTGAATCCTTGTATCTCATTTCCAATGTATTGTACCAAACAAGGTATACACATGGGAGTCCACGTTACATGCTCAGTGGATCTATGAGCACCTATAATTCATCCCGCAAAATGACGTGGTTTAGATTTAACTGACCATCGGTTTTTCTTTGCTCTCCTCTTCTTCTGTCGTCGCTCCTTGTTGGAATCTTCACTTCTCGCTGGTATACTTAGCGCGGCCCTTTTTTCCCCTCGCAATTTTTCTCTTTCTCTACCGTTTACAACTTATAAATATGAATGCCGTTTCTCTTTCCCTCATTTGGATTTAAAGTGACTAACGTTTTCTTCTTTTTACCCTCCTCCTTTTCGTCTCCTCTTTTTTCTCCAGTCCTCGATATCCTCGCTCCCCAAGTTCAGACTTGAAGAGCTCGAATTCAGTTCCTTGCCATCGCAACTGTTATGATCGAACAAGTTGGCCCATTTTATAGATTCAGACGTAGAGTGGATAATGCAGGTTAGTCCGTCCGTTACAAGCCACTCGTCGTGGGTCAAGAGCTATATGGACCGGTCTATCTCCTAGTAAACTGACTTTTAGCCAATCCAAACCTGCTAAGGATAGGTTGGCCTGCCAACTCCATCCCTTTTTTTTTTTTTTACATTTATATATATTTTAAAATTTTCAAATTAAATTACAAACTTTTATTTACTAAATTCCATTTTTATATAATTATATAATTAAACTAATCTCAAAACTTGAGAATCTAAACATCTAATCTATTTCTAATAGTTATTTTATCAATATAAAATGATAAAATAATAAAGAGAATGAGAAATCAAATTCCAAATCAAAATCTCTAACAAAATATAAACTTATATTTATTATGCATCCACTAATCTCTTAAAATTTTTTTAATATGCAAGGGAAGGTCAAAAAATCATCTACACATTTAATTATATCATTTGTGTCTACTATTAAAGCAAATTCTACCATAACTTGCATAAAACCACTTATGTCTAATTTCAGTAACATAATTAACAATTCTTGTAACTATTACTACAAATTCTGCTATTTTTGTCTATTCTGAAAATCTTTGTTTAGGGGGAAACGTTGACTGAAAAGACATGGATAGTAAGTACATATTTATTTGTTATATAACAGACGAGTATAAGAAAGAATATATTCATCTAGCCTAAAATAGATGAATATAAAAGCTCATATTCATCTTTTTTTGGAAGAAAATGTGTGGGGGGAAAAAAAGCATTCTTCCAAAACCCAAACTAACTACGCATTGGTGGTAGCAGGGAGATAAAGAGAATAACTTGTGTGAAATAGTGTTTAAAAGTATACTCCTCTAGTTTTATTTATAAGACACTTCTATCATATTTTACACAGATCAAGAAAAATCTTAAAATGTATTAACTCTCCATTAAAATATAATAACTTTTCAATTTTATTCCTATTTAATATATATATTTTTTCAAAAAAGATAACTATCTATACTATAATAAATGAAAGATGAGACAGCACATTCATGCTACAAATTTAATAAAATGACTTATAAATAGGACCCAAAAAATCTTCTCCAGCTACCTTATAAATAGGACTAGAGGAGTGTCAATCAATGGCTCATGGAGAACAATGAATGATGGGGTCTCTTTACATGAAGCTTGAGATGTTCTTGATATTGATTTGAGGATTTCTCAACTTTTGACACTTGATTAATGATGGCATGATCCCAAATACTTGAAATCAAGACTTTGAATAAGAGATGGGAATACATCACGTGACAAATATCATCCATTCATCCTTAGAGGCAAAGGCACATTGTGCATATCGTTAATGTTTCAGTTGGTACTTTCGCCACTAAGATGTTTTTAAAATCTCATCCCTTTTTATGACAAACAAAATAAAGGAATTCAACACATATATAGGAAAAAAACAAACTTAAGGAATTTGACAACACCTCCAAACCCCCAAATTTTGACTATGATTGTACTTTTCTTATTGTGGGATTTCTCGCACAATTGGTGAAGCGCTTCTTTCACATGAGGTTGCAACCCTACTCGCGATATGGCTTTTGCAATGAAGTTACTGAATAGTTCTTGATCATTGGTGGCAAACTAGAATAATTAGGATAAAATTAATGGGGGTACATATTACGATAAGAAGATATTATATATATAAATATATCCACATATATAAGAAATATCCAATTTCTATATATAATTTGATTAATTAACCAAAACCGTCCTTTCACTAACAAATAGTTTTGCTCATATATATCTTTTGCTAGAACCTATTCATCAAGCATGTAAGTTTTTTGTTGTTTTTTTTTTTTGTCCTTAAAACTTTTCCTAGACGTTTTATATTGTTTTTCTTTAAGTGATTCGTTAGCCTGGCTAATACAAGAGAAAAACCATCATGCTATTCAGCAACCAAACACATTCATATCTGGCTTCCTATACACAATTTATTATAGATATATAGATGTCATAATTTTTCCCGACTGTTTCATTTATTTGGTGAAGTTCAGGAATTATTCTAGCAAGCAAGTAAAAATCATAAACTGGAATAAGAGACAAAAAGTATTAGTGATTACCCAAAATCAGGTGAGAGTGTGAAGCCATATAGGAAAGAACGCACAGCGTCATCTCTATGTTGACCAATA